AAAACTGAACTTCGGCTTGAAGCCAGCTGCCTTTTCAAAATAGCTACCGTGAGGCGGAGGCAAGTTGGGGCACAGGTAATCGTAAGAAGTAGAATGCAATAAAGACGAAAAAGTAACCATCTTGACTTTGACAGTGCCAAAAAAAGAACTGAGTGACAATTGACAGTTGACAATGAAGTTGTCAAAACAATTGCCAACTTGAGAAATACAAATAAATTTCATGAAAAGATAAAAGTGGGTTGGAACCACTGAAGTAGCAAGCACAAGTTATGGAGGGAATTTTAAATTTTAAATTATTTTTAAAAATTAACCAAACGTTACAATAAATAAGTAGAATTATAAAATATACATTGAGTGAAGGTAAAAAACATTTTGATATAAAATTATTGAAATTAAGAAGGTGCCTGACTAGAACAACAGAATTGAGCCTGCCGACCCCAGGGAAACCGAAGTCGCAGGCAGACCAACTTTTCCAACTAAAAGAGGAGGAAAAACCGTCCTGACCACGAAATCAAATATCACCGGAGAAGACAAGATCAGCTCTGCTGTAAGAAGATTCAAGGAGAAGCTAGCTAGGTAACTTCAGACCAACCGTTGCCAATACTCTTAAAGAGAGGAGGGAGGCACTTTGCTATTGAGATGGATTTGCGTGTTAACACAGGTGACATTAGTTTTATTAAACTCTCGGTGTATCTCAAGATCTTCGAGCAGATTTAATTTAAAGTTACAATTGAAAATATTATGAAGGACAGTGACATTCTCAGAAGGAGTGAAATTGTGATTATTGAATTTAATATGATGTCCAAAAGTGGACTTATCAGGATATCTAATGTGTTCACCAGCTCTTAAATTGAGTCTTCTCTCGGTTTTCCCTATATAAGTAGTATTGCAATCGTTACAGTTTAATCTATAGATACCACTTTTGAGTAGCAACTCGATTTCATCCTTAGTGTGTGATAGTTGGCTTTTAATTGAATTAACATTTTTAAAAGATATTATAATATTGTTGCAATCTTTAAAAACTGCAGCGATATCATTGGAAATTTTCCCGAGATAAGGTAGTGAGAAGTATTTAAAATTAGCAGGAGAATCATTAGTAGGATTAAAAGCAAGCAGAGACCTTTTCTTAAGTTTGACCTTATTAATAACCATGTCAATAATAGAAGGATAGTAGTTGTTTTTAAAGGCTAGTTGTTTTAAAACATTGATTTCTTTATTAAAATTATGATTAGATAAAGGTATATTGAGGAGACGGTGAACATAACAGTATATGGCTGATAACTTGTGTTGATAAGAGTGATTAGAGTGAAAATTAATTAGATGATCAGTTTGAGTGGGTTTCCTGTAGATATCAAATTCGAGCTTATTATCCATACGACTAATAGAAAGGTCTAGGAAATTAAGTGATTTGTTGACTTCAAGCTCGACTGTGAATTTAATTTTAGGATGGATATTGTTGATGAAAATTAAGAAGTCATCAATCTCAGAGACGTTACAATTCATAATAGCAAAAATGTCATCAACATATCTGTGCCAGTGTAAGATTCGGTTGTTAGGGGAATTAATCAGAATTTTATTGGTTTCTAGGTGATCTAAAAATAAGTCTGCTAACAAAGGACTAAGAGGATTGCCCATTGCTAGGCCGTTAGGTTGTCTGTAGAAAGTTTTATTAAAAATAAAAAAATCTTGGTCAAGACAAACTTTGAGTAAATCCAAGATAATATTGATCGAATGAAGGTTAAAGTTATTTTTAGTAAGAAGGTCCTTAATGATAGGAAAGGTTTCCTCTCTGGGGACATTAGTGAATAAATTGCTAACATCAAAAGAAACTAACTTAGCTTCAGGACTTAAATTTATATACTGACAAGTAAGTTGTAATGTTTTTTTATTTTTTATTCAATGTTTAGGAATAGCTCGATTTGACTATTGTTATAGCTCCGTTTTTTTATCTTTGTAGAGTCCCTGATGATGGCCTAACCGGCTGAAAGCGCTAAGACTACTTTTACTGAGTTTTATTAATATTAATAAAACTACCTACACACTTTAAATACGTCACATTCATTTCTTATTAAAAAACGTCTTATTAAGATTCGCTATTAGCATCCTTTTATACTTATGAAAATATATTTTTTCAAGGTTGCATTTCGTTTTGAATCAGTTTTGTCCAATATCAGCGTTTAACTTTGTTTGTTTTTGCCAAAACAGAAGTTTATTTTTTCCCAAGCCGAAAGAACAATAAGTACATTCATTTTGCTATTTTCCAAGGTTTTTGAAGCTTAAAAGGTTGGGGTATGTTATTTAAATCAAACAATCTACTCCAAGCAGCATTTTTTGAAAAGGTTTGTCTTGTTAGTAGTGATGCCGCGAGACGAGAGATTCTCGTCTCTCGTCTCGTTTTGTCTCGTCTCGAACAAGACGGGAGAGACATTTTCACTCGAAAACAGATTCGAGACGAGACGAGAAAGTGTCACCTCTCGACGAGAATTTCTCGTTTCTCTCGAGCTCTATCGGGCTCTCTCTAACAATTTTCTCTTTACTTATTTACAATTTTCAATTGCTTATCGTAACATAAAATTTTAACATAATATTAGATTTCTAGATAGTCAAAAAGTTAACTATAACACACCTATTCTATATATATTAAGTGGTAACAAATGATACTTGTGTTATTAGGATTTTATAAATACTGATTTATAAGAAAGAATATTTCTCATTTCATTTATTTTAAATTTATACAATCATTTCTTATATTTAACCCATTCTGCTTTTCTGGGGTTACTTTTGAAGATGAGTTGAAAATTTTTTAAGCGTTTTTTCGAAAAACTGTCAAAGAAAAGGTAATACAAGCAGTGCCGTACCATAATTTTACTTATAAGTATCAAGTAGGTAGCCCCCTGCGACGCCACTGGAATTAATAAATTTATTTTATCCTCACCAAAGAAAGGCAATAAATAAGCCTACTAAATTTTATTTAAATATGTATTTATTATTTATTTAAATATTTATTGACTCCCTGTATCTAGAAAACGAAGCAAGTTAGGACACACGATTATATGTATTTTTTTTCCTATTTTTGGCTGGTAAATACGTCATAAAAATCTTTACACTCAATTTTGAATCACCCCGTATAGATATCTGTCTAATATCAGAAACACATTTAACAAAACAAAGCTATACACAATTTTAAGGATATAACGCAGAGATAACAGAGATATTCATTGATAAAATATTATATTCACGATGCCAAGATTAAGATGACAATCATAACACTCTGTGTATAGGTCTGCGGTGAGAAGACAAAAGGTGCGAAGTAAGAGAGGGGATAAAGAGAAGGATTTTACACAGATACAACTTTATTTTATCAATGAATAAATGTGTAAGCGATGTGCGCTTATAATAAACAACGTAACGGTGTAAGCCCTGTTGCCACTTCCAACTTACGATTACTAGGTTTTGGAATTTATTGTAAATTATTACATTTAATTTAGTGAAATTACATTTAATTTAGTGAAATTATATCTAATTTAGTTAAATTTGATATAACTAATGATTCAAAATTTTTTGGGTTTAGTTGCAATAAAGTATGTTAAATTATTTTAGCTTTTTTAAGGAAAATCAACCTATTGGCCAACCGATAGAAATAAAATACCTAATTAGATTTCTACATTACTAGAAAAATACGCGAAAACTTTATTAAAATAGAAGTAAACTTTGACTTAGACTTAGATCATTCCTCGGTGATAATAATACTCAGTGAAAATATAATCCAAAAAGATATTAGACCTACACTGTGCAATACAAAGACAGACAGAGTAAGTTTTAAAGCTAAATTAAGTTAATTTGTTAACCCTTCTATTAACTTTTAAAGATTACTTATACTATAGGTAACTAAAGAATTACACATTGAAATTTTGTTTGGTACCTTTTCAACAATAAAATGTAGGTAGAAAATTTTATTACAATTAGGAGATCCTCCATGTGGGAGATTGTTTAGGAATGGTAACAAAAAAAACCTTTTAACATGGAGATGTGTTTATTAATAATGTAAAATGTCGAGAAGTTATAATTTTTCATTAATACTATTTTGTAAAGTTGTATTTCGAAATAATTGTTGTGTAATTTTAATTTTAATTTTAATTTTTTTAAATAAAACTTTTGTGAAAATCTACCTTGTTTGGTTTTTCTCATATTAATAATACTCATTTGTTTCAATCATCATTTCCACAATTCCAATTTTGCAGGAAAGAATACAGACAATTTAATTATTCTTTTCTTTTTTATTATCTATAAAAACGATGTAAAATAGTAGTTTCTTTACTTTGTTTTAACGAAATCGAAATATACACACTTTCAACTTCTAACAAATAATTAATAAGGTATAAACTAAATAGTTTTGCTATAGTTCCCTTAATTCTACAAATTCTACAAATCCTTTTAAGGAGCTATAATTTAGTTGTCCTGTGTCAGATTTGTTATGAATGCGTTGGTTAAAAAAAAAACTGATATTTTCACTAGACTCTACCGACAGTATAGGCTGGTGCATAAGTGCTGTAGAGTTGCAGAACCTCCAACAAAATGCAAGTATCTCATCAACATTTCACAGAAATTATTTTAGAAATTTTAAAATATACTTAAAATAAATTTTATGAATTATCTCAGTATTTTAACTAAATTTTAATAATTAAATAGTATCCATAGCGCGTGAACAACCTTTTTTGTGTTGTGCCTCCTTAAGTTAATAAAAATATATTCATGCCCCTCTTATAATTATTTTTTTTATTGTTATAATAAAAAACACATCAATTTCACTACATTTATTTCTCAATAACAAGTACAATCAAATAAATTAAAACTTTGGTGTTCACTACTAAAAATAATTACGTATTTCTCATTAAAAATTAAATAATAAAATTGTGTTAATGCGATATTTGCGCCTGCATGTTCTAAACCAGTTGGTTGATGTCGCGGCTGTAGTTTTTGCCAGGGCAGTCGTCAAGTCGCTATGGACTATGGACGGCAAGACGATTTCGCTGCTTAGTTTTGATTTTAACCAATGCTGAAAAACCTGTTTCACCTAAGTAAGTCGAGGAAAACGGCACAATTATTTGCAAAGCATGAGAAGAAACTTTTGGATTAAGGAGGAAACGTTTTATCCAAAACTTCACCAATGTGAAGAGGTGGAAGTCATCTTTCATGATAGAATCAGCCTTCATTTCTAGAAATTCTTCCTGAATATCTTCTGGTAATTGTAAGACATCGACCACAAATGGATTTCTTGTCATATGCCATATTGGTGATTCTGAATTAATGTCGCTATAATATCGTTGAAATTCGTGTTTTAACGCTTTCAAATAAGCTGCTATATCAGTTTTAACGTCTTCGCCCAGTCTTTGATTTTTAATTGTTCCCTGTAGTCGAGGAAAACATATTAGATTTCCAGAAATTACTTTTTGGGACCAAAGTTGAAGCCTTGATATAAAGCCCTGAATATGATCGTAGTTACTAATCATAGTTCCGTTTTTTCCCTGCTGCTTCAAATTTAATTGCTTCAAATACATCACTCAAATAGGCCAATCTCCATTGAAATTTTTCATCTTTGAACATTTGCAGAAAGTCGTTTTTTCCCTTTAAAATCGAGAAATAGGATGACCTCTTCTTTCAGCTCATAAAGTCGTGCTAACATGTTGCCCTTAGACAACCTGCGTACTTCTATGTGGAAAAGTGGAAAAGAAGAACTTTGTGATCAGAATCAAGATCCTCGCAAAGTAATGTAAATAATCGACTGTTCAAAGCACTGCTTTTAATGTAGTTCACAATTTTTATTGCCAAGTCTAAACTCTGTCGTAAATTCTGAGGCAATGTTTTTGAAGCCGAAGCTTGGCCTCAATGTATGCTAACCAGGGTGGGATTCTTTTCCTTTAGCTTTTGAGCTAAGCCAGATCTTACACCTATCATAGCGGGGGCACCATCTGTGCAGAGTCCAATGAGCTTATTCCAATCAAAATAATTTTTGTTTTATAAAGTCAGATATTGAATTAAATATATAGTCAGATGTAGTACCAGCTGTCTAACATTGTGTGTACAAAATCTCTTCTTTAATTTGATCTTTGTCGACGTAACGCACATAAACGATTAATTGTAGAGACACGCGCGGGCGATGCGGGCGGAGTGGAGAGACGCGATGTTGTCAATGGTCTCGAACGCTTCATTCGTGACATTTCACTTTATCATAAAATATTTCCTTAAAAGTTTCAATAACATATACGGCATTTCGATTTGTCATACTTTTATTAAATAATTTAAGAGTTCAAATAGATTTTTTTCAGAATGTCCGAATACATTGAACCCCCTTATAATCTATTTACGTCCCCTAGGGGGGGGCGCCCCCCTGGTTGGGAAGTCCTGGTTTAGTAGATTATTAGTTTGATTTAATTCGCCAGCGCGCGTTTCAATTGTACATGAAAGACATGGATATAGTGTTAAAAAACGAAAAGTGAATTTTTAAATACGCGTATGAGTTTAAGTTTCCTGCTAAAAAGGATCGCAAACAGAATTATTATTTTTTTTTTATGGCTGTTGGATATGTTTTCCATTTAGCCAGAATCAATAATATTAAGTTTTATCGTACCTGTCTGTTAACCCTATCTATTCCAAAAAATCAAAACCCCCCCACAACAAGGAGTATGGAATTGGGTAAACACATTTCACACCCAGGGGTCTATCAGGGTGACTGACGCACAGATTGAGAGGACCTCGGTTAAGAAAGGTTGTACAATATTTAGGTTGATAAAAACAAAGGGTACAAAATTAACCTATACTATAGTTTTAAGCCGCAAGCTTTGATAAAACCCAATAGGGCTTCATATACTGCTGAATCGTTCGGCGACAAAAGGTACATTAAGTTAAATGGGGCTAAAATGCCATTTGCTAGTAGCTGGTTAAAAAGTTGCTGTGTTTGAATGTTATACTTTTTGCAACTGAAAAATATATGATCCAAATCACTAATCACACTACAACTGTCGCAAAGGTTGGAGTCTATAACTTTAATTTTGTGTAAATGATAAGGGTAACAAGCATGTCCAAATTTGATTCTACTGATCGTTACAATACTATTCCGTGGGTACTTTAAATTCTTATGCCACAATTCGTTAGGTATAACTGGGTGGAGTAAGGTGTAACGGGTTGGTTTGTTTCTACAATATTGAATCCAGTACAGGTTCCATCGTTCTTTTAACTTCTTTCTAGAATGACTTATGCATTCGTCAATGCTAATATTATTTTTAAGAATTTGGCCAGTATCGATGCTTTCCTTTGCTAGTTTATCGACTGTCTCATTAAAATGTAAGCCGATATGTGCCTTTACCCATAAGAACTTTATATCAAACTGTATTTGTTTTAATTTGTTGATTTGTAACTTTAACTTGATAATAGAAGCGTTTTGGTTGGGTGCTATAATGTCAATAGCGTCAGCTATAGTTTTGAGGACAAAGAGTGAATCAGATAATATGATTACCTTTTTAAAGGAATGATGTTCGGCGTATTCTAGTGCCTGAATAATCCCAATGGCTTCAGCAGAAAATATTGAGGTAAATGCATTTAATTTATACTGTGCTTTAATATTTAAAGAGGGAATGAAAAATGCACAACCAACTCCACTATTTTGTTTGGACGCGTCAGTGTAAATGTGAAGGTAATTTGGATATTTTGATAGGTGACAATTTAGTACTCGATGACTAATTGTGGGTATATCGCTATACGATGGAATTTTAATAGTCACTGGATCCAAGGCTAATATCATGTCAGTTATATTATTTAAGCTATGTTTCTTTAGCATAGATGCCTTATAACTGGTCTCTCTGAGAGCACTAGATGATACATTAATGTATACAAAGTAGGTGAATAAAAGCTGTAAAATAATAATTGCTTTTTTCATTATAGTACTTATTCGACTTATATAACTTGTATAAAGCAATTGTTTTTTTTTCCCGCTTTATTGGCAATGGACATTAGTCCTTCAGCCACACACAAATTGAAAGGTATTACGTTTAAATATTAGATATTAATATTATTTTTACTTACATAATCTACCAATAAATCGTACACAGATTGATTTCCAGTCGCGAGCAACACCTTAACACACGTAGGAAACTGAATACCTGCTCTCATAAGACCATCCCACAGGTCATTATTACAAAAACTCTTACAGCCGAAAAATATGTGATCGAGATCTGCGACCTCGTTATCAAGAGAACATAGTGGAGAATCTGTCAGTCCTATTTTATATAAATGAGACGGAAAGCACCCATGGTTAATTTTCAATCTAGTTATAATTGTGCAGTACTTTTTATTAACTTTGTCATTGAATATATGTGATATTTTATTTGGCAACTCCTTGTAGATAGAAAAATATGAACTATTTGAATTTTTTGTTATTTCTCTCCGATATTTATTCCAATCTCTGTAAATACTATCTTTATATTTACCATAAAGATCTTTGTAACAAGGATTTTTTAAAAGATTATTGCATACCCTTGCTTCTTTTGCAGCCTTATCAACTAACTCATTTCCATAGATGCCACTATGTCCTTTCGTCCATATAAATATAATTTTAACCTTTTTAACTTCTAACTGATTAAGCAAATTTTTTATCTTACATATAATAAAATTATCAAAATGTCTTGTTGTTATATTTTTTATGCTCTCTAACACCGATTTTGAGTCAGATATTATTATTGCACTTTGTACCTTGTTTTCCGCACACCACTCCAAAGCTTTATGTATAGCGACAGCTTCAGCTGTAAAAATGCTACAAATCTCTGGTAATTGAAATTTACACATTTCTTTATTATTTTCTATATAGAAGGCACTACCGACTCCTTTCAGATTTTTACTTCCATCTGTGTAAATTATTGTATTTACTTTATAACTGCTAATTGCAGAAAGTAATGAAGTTTTATTATAGGAGGGTAATTCATTATAGTTCGGAAATATGACGGTGGACTTTGAAAAAATTGATTCGTAGCTATGTTTAAACACAGGTAACTAAAGCAATTGTAATAAATAATTTTTACAACGTTTGAACGGGCACTATTTTACGTAGCTTTCTGCGAAAACCCACTGTTAACAATTATTGCATGGAACACTGGTATCGCGGTTACGGCCTCTATCTGTCAAGCTTATCTCTTCCGAATATATATGAATATAGTCCGTTGGTGATGGTAACGTTTATGCTCCTTTGCACACAGCTTGAATTTATCTCGTCATTACAATGATTTGATGCAGGTACAATGTTACAAAATGTCTACGTGTGATTTACTAAAGCATAATTCAAGTAAATTACATATAAATAAAGTAACAATAATAGTACAAGAGTGATTGACTAGATAGTGAATTATGTCGCAGTGTTGAACAACTATGCAATAATAAATAAAATAGAAACAAAACTGTATTAGCTTTGAAAACAAATGAATTTTCTCCAATAAGCATTTTCTGATTTGTTTCAGCTTACTTAAATTTATTCGTGTCCTGGATTTAGCAATGCTGGCCGTACTATTTCAAGTTAATTTGAATCAGTTTTCATTGCGTATATTTCCAGTAATATATATTAAAAATATTTTTTCCGATTTGAGTAGAAAGCAGATATAAACAATATAATTTTGGGTTATATATTTAGATTTAGTGAATATTGTTTCAGAACTATAAAAAATCAATATTTGGAAAACTACCTATTTAAACAAAAACAATTTAATTATTTAAACAAAAACTATTTGAAAAAAAAACTATCTAACTATTTAAATAGAAATCGTAAATTAAAACTAAATAAAAGATTGGTAGTTAATGCATATTTTAACACAAATTTTATGGGGATCAAAACTTTTTTTTGTTGAAAAAAAAAATATATATTTTTTAAAAATCGCGCATTTTTGGGTAAAAAGTGGTATTGTAAAAAATATATCTACTTTTACCCTAAATCTAAAAGTAATTTTACAAAATAAATCTGTATTGGACATGAATCTCAAAATTACTTGCACAAAAATAAAACAAACGTCATCGGTATAAAATTAATGTATTGCCCTTTAAATATTATAATTTTATTACTTTGTAAATAGAAATAAGAAAAGGCATCGTCAAGGGCATTTCACAAGTAAGTAACCATTAGCGTCTCTACCATTTTTTTTAAAGAAACATAGTACCTACATTTTATGCAAAAGGCCGTTAAACATGAATTTAAAATAAATGGTAAATTTAGTGAATTTAATTTAAAGAACTTGTATTATGTATGAGGAATATTGTTTTTGATTTTGGACTACTGAAAAGTTAAAAAAATCATAATTTTTCAATATAAATAAGCTTTTTGTTTTTAAGTCATTTTATCATGATAATGTTGAAGATGTTAAATCAATAATATTTTTTTTTGTAGGTTTCCAGCTATTCCTGCCGAAAAAACGATTATGATATTATGATATATATTTATGTCAAAGACTGGATGCGGAGGAAGAACTAGATTAATTCCAGGTGCATTGTCATCAGCATTTACTGAGGCCCCAGAAGAAGATGA